CATTTTTTTTATCTCAACAAGCAAAAGTAATGACTTTAATAAGTAAAAATATTGCATAGTTCATAGAGAATAAAAACATGACATGAATGAATGAAAAWTACAGAAAACCTGAACATCTGCTGCACTTTGTTTCTTTAAGCTTCTTCCACACTTATAATAAATACTGAGTGTTGAGTCACTGCAGGAGGACTTGTAGGAATCTGAAATGTGCTTCTACAGTTATTACATTCATATACCATTGTTGTTTGTTATAAATTCTGGATAATAGATAAAAAAATATGGTCCATCTTAGTTTCCTTTCATCCATTATCTTTCACCTGCTTCTTCCTTTCAGGGTCACAGGGGTCACTGGTGCCCATCAGTCACTGTGTGAGGAGGGTACACCCTGGACAGGTCCCAAATCCATCACAGGGACCTATCTTMGTTTGTTTCATTACATTTTTCAGCCTTAGAATGTGTAAAGAACTTATTTATTAACACCTTTTAGATGCAGAAAATTTGGGATCTTGGCAGCACAAYAGCTTAGTGGTTAGCATCGTTGCCTCCGGGTAATCTAGTTTCCTCCAACAGAGCAAACTTGTGCATGTTAGGCTGCCTTCAGGCCTCGCTTGCAAAAGAGGTCTGTGATCTCTAATTTCTTCTTATTGGTAAAGACACATCACTAGAATGAATCGTTGCATGTCTTTTGTGAAGTAAGACAATTGGGACTGACAGTAAGACACAGATCTGGTTGAGTCCTGAGGTTCGTCAAGTTGTCGGCATGAGAAACTGTCCATCCGTGTGTGGTCTCAGATACGGATATGAAAGGTACTGAAAGAGCAAAATTTACAACATGAGGAACAAACAYTGAGACGGTGTGTTACTATAAAAATACAGGAATCAGTTACAAATGCAGTCATCATTGCACTGAAAATAAGAAGTCATGATTCTGATTTTACTGAGTACGTATAGAGTTGCTCAACAGTACAACGATGCAGTGAAGAAGGTTTTTTCTACAGAACGACTATTTATTCAAGCATTGGTCATTTAAGGATTACCTTAAAAAATCTGGAGCCCTGGATATCATATTTTCAAAGTCAGAATAAGAGAGTTTATTGTCTCCATCTAAATCGGCCTCATCAATGGTTTTCTCGCACACCAACTCCACCTCCTCAGAAGTCAGCTCCTCCTTTGTCAGCTTGTTTAGAGTCTTCTCAAGGTCCTCTTTGCACAGGTAATTATCCACATTAAAATCTAAGAGCAAGAGAAAATTTGAGTCAATTCTAGCTTAATTTCTCCAGAAAAGATGAAAAAGATTACTTTTATAGTGAATACCATAAATCTTAAAAGCGTAAATAGCCTTAAGTTCTCGAGGTGCCATTTCACTGAGGACTGAGAACATGTCGACAAATTCATTGAAACTCAGGTTCCCCATCCCGTCCTCGGAGAACGACTCCACGATCCTGCTGCGGAACGGGTTTTCCTGCACATAAAACAATGTTAAATATATTACTGCAACAGTTAGTGTAATAAGAATATGAYGAGAAACACCAATAGGTTTGGAAATTACACTGAAAGAGCTGTGATAGTTTCATATGAACTGCTGATCTGCTGGTGTTATGGCTGCTGTATTAAGTTGACTGTGTGTGCATCTAATGCAGGGGTGTCAAACTCCAGTCTTCGAGGGCCGCTATCCTGCATGTTTTAGAGGTTTTCCAGCTCCAACACACCTGATTCAGTGATTGAATTAACTCTTCAAATTGGGCAGAAGCCTGTTAATTACCCAGCGATCAAAATCAGGTGTGTTGGAGCAATAAAACCTCTAAAACATGCAGGATAGCGGCCCTCGAGGAMWGGAGTTTGACACCCCTGATCTAATGTGTGTAAATTAAGGTAACCAAGCAGCGATTAGTGGACCAAAGAGCTGGACGTGGATTGGCTGCCAAAGATCTTGTGGTCGACTGAACCATAGTCAAAGTGATGATTGGATTTATTTGGAGCCCCATTTCGATGGACATTTATATTTTTTACCTTTAATTCCGGCATGTCAACTATCAACGCTAACGGCAGTTTACAGTCAGGTTCGTTTGTGTAGTCCATCGGCACGAGATGTGGAGCCAGCTCATGGTATCTGCCATGCAGCCTGGAATCAAATATGAAAGCAGATTTGAACCATTTCCATTACATCTTGCAACTTATTTGAAAAACAAACAAACAAACAAACAAACAAACAAACAAACAACAACATTTACCAAAATTTTGGTATGCCTCTTAAACATAATGACTCGCTGGAACATTTTTATAAAGGAAAACATGCAAATGACTACATGAGAGCAATGGAAAGGCTTCAGGCTGTCCAGTGTTCATCATTACATTTGCCTATGGACACTATCCAGGCTATGGAAAAGTTAAACATCACATATGGAAAGTAAAGCTCATTTTCTTTTGTTGTTTCTCTAATTCAGTAAGAGCAGGAGCAGACATTTTTCTGGTCTTATACAAACATAAGGGTCAAAGTGCATAACTTTGATTTACAGCGGGAAAAGTAAGTATTGAACACGTCACCATTTTTCTCAGTAAATATATTACTAGAGGTGCTAATGACATGAAATTTTCACCAGATGTTGGTAACAACCCAAGTGATCCATACATACAAAGAAATCAAACCATAAATGTCCAGAAATKAAGTTATTTGTAATAATGTGGAATGGTACAGGGAAAAAGTATTGACTCCACTACTGAAGAAACAGCATGTTGAAGCTCCTTTAAAGTTTGCTGCACAACATTTAAACAAGCCTGTGTAAAAAGTATTGACTACATGAAGAAAGGGAGTTGTAAAAAGGCATGGAAAGCCAAGACACCAGCTGAACTCTCTCAGTAATTACAAAACAAGCCTGCCCCTTGTCAGTGCARGTTAATATCAGCTGGTTCAGTCCCAAATGATGGCCAGGTATCACACAAGAAACATCTGATGATGGGTAAAAGTAAAGAGCTCTCTCAAGACCTTCACAACCTTATTGTTGCAAAGCATAATGATGGCATCGGTTACAGAAGAATGTCTAAACTTCTGAAGGTTCAGTGAGCACTGTTGGGGCCATAATTCAGAAGTGGAAAGAACATTATTTCACCATAAACCGACCACGACCAGGTGCTCCTCACAAGATTTCTGACAGAGGAGTGAAAAGAATTATCAGAAGAGTTGTCCAAGAGCCAAGGACCACTTGTGGAGAGCTTCAGAAAGACCTGGAATTAGCAGGTACGTTTGTTTCAAAGAAAACAATAAGTAATGCACTGAACCACCATGGCCTGTATGCACGCTCACCACGCAAGACTCCACTGCTGAAGAAACAGCATGTTGAAGCTCCTTTAAAGTTTGCTGCACAACATTTARACAAGCCTGTGTAATACTGGGAGAATATAGTCTGGTCAGATGAGACCAACATTGAACTGTTTGGATGCCAGAATACACATCATGTTTGGAGGTCAAATGGCACTGCACATCAGCCCAAAAACACCAAACCAACTGTGAAGTTTGGAGGTGGGAACATCATGGTGTGGGACTGTTTTTCAGCATATGGTACTGGCAAACTTCAAATAATTGAAGGAAGGATGAGTGGGAAAATGTACAGAGACATTCTTGATAAAAATCTGCTTCCATCTACCAGGATGATGAAGATGAAACGTGGCTGGACATTTCAGCAAGACAATGAGCCCAAACACAAAGCCAAGGAAACTCTCAGTTGSTTTCAGAGAAAGAAACTAAAGCTGCTGGAATGGCCCAGCCAATCACCTGACCTGAATCCAACAGAAAATCTATGGAAAGAACTAAAGATCAGAGTTCATAGAAGAGGTCCACGAAACCTTCAAGATTTGAAGACTGTTTGTGGAAGAATGGGCCAAAATCACACCTGAGCAATGCATGCCACTAGTTTCTCCATACAGGAGGCGTCTTGAAGCTGTCATTGACAACAAAGGCTTTTGTRCAAAGTATTAGATAAATTTCAGTAAGTGTGTTCAATACTTTTTCCCTGTGCCATTCCACATTATTACAAATAACTTCATTTCTGGACATTTATGGTTTGATTTCTTTGTATGTATGGATCACTTGGGTTGTTACCGACATCTGGTGAAAATTTCATGTCATTAGCACCTCTAGTAATATATTTACTGAGGAAAATGGTGACGTGTTCAATACTCATTTTACCCGCTGTATATTTAATTTAAAAAGTACTTAATCTGGTCAGAATTAATCCCCATTTCTCCAAACTGAGGTCATTCAAAGAACTGGCAGGTAAGATATTAATTGTTCCTAATCTATCCACTATAGCGTTGCATTTTTGGTTTAATTTGCATTTTGTATTTGTTCATGAAACATGATACCATTCACTGTGTTGACACTCCCAAACTGAACCCTTTGCAAGTTTGACAATTTTACTTTGGTAATGAAATGTTTATCAAAAAATATTTTTGTGTTGTGTCGCAACATAAATTCAATTTTGTGCATGTCATGATTAACTTCAGTGGTACTAAAACAGCTATAAAATGTGTAGCATGTAGGGCTGAAAGACATTAGAGATCACTTATTTGAGCTGTAATTAAAATAAATGTGGGTGGGGAAATTTGAAATATAAAGCATGCAGCAGGAACTAAAACATCTTGTGGTTTAGTATCAACATGTCACATTATAGCATTTTACCTACTCTGAACTGAAGAAAAAGGCTGATTGTGTAGAACATTCCAGTGCACTGTTATTGATATACATTTAAAGCAAGTGGTGAAAACTTTGGTTTGCAATTAGTCATCAACTCGTTATCACTCATGCTAAAAAGATGCAGCTAATAAATGCCTTACCGCAAAATTTCTTTGCGAGTGAAGAAAGTGCAGTCCTGCAATGAGACAAAACAGCAATGTCAAAGAACAAATACAGCAAATTGTTACGTTAAACACAGGATGGTATTTTATAATAAAGTGTTTGAGGTATATTAACAATAATAAGCAGGAACTAAGGTTGTAARATGTATTAAAGGAATAGTCTGGTCATTTTGTAAGTGATGTTTTCTGAAGGCAGAGTATGAAGAAAGGAGTCGTTCAGGCTAGGCTAATGGCTAGCCAAAGTTGGGCCTGTTGAGTAAACTAAATTACTACATGTGCTGATCAGGCTGACTCATACATTTGCAGCCTTGCTACTGTTGACATTTATATGATTTTAATTATACTGACTGCACAAACAAACATTCACGTAGCAACACGGATGTTGTGCTCTTTCACGTATGAYGTTTTTGAGAAAGAGTTGTTTTATAATGTTGGAAAAACAATGTTCCTTATGTTCCAGCTTAGTCTGGACAAAGACTTGTGCCTTTTTCTCCAAATTCTCTGCTCTGGAACTGATAGTACGGTTGATAAAATAATAACTGCTGGTAACTGTTTGACAGAACATACTGTACATTCAAAAATGACCAAACTATCCATTTAAAGAGTTGGAGTCCATCGCAGGACCACATAACCGTTTACATTCACACTTAACCCAACATGCTTATTTTTGGTCTGTGGGAGGAAATCAGAGTACCAGGAAAAAGCCACGCTTGAACAAGGTGAACATGCAAACTCTACCTAGAAAGGCCCAGACCAGGAGGAGACCTGGCGACAGCTCCAACAGAGCATTCCTATAAAATCTCACCAAGGTGTCTGGTTTCTTCTAAAATGACCATGCGAGTGTGAGAACATGCAGCAACACGAGCCGCTTGCTGTCTGACATGTGTCTGCTGCAGGYACGCGTATTATCCAACAGCCCTCTCAGGGGGCGACTTACTTCACATTATTTGTCTTTTGTCTCCAGCTGAGCCATGCTCGTGGGTGTAAAAGCGGAGCGCTGTCAGCTGTGCAGCTTTTAGAGGCAAGGCTAATAAAAAAAATCACTCCTGATCTGTGCAGGATGATGTAACAATGAACGTGTACGAGTGTAATTAAACTCAGAATATTTTTTTAATCCATCTTCAGAGCCCAGTCAGGATTAAAAACAAACAAAAAATGAAAATAGCAACTATTTTAAAGAGACATGATAGTAACCAGAGAGGCTCTGGAGAGCTGAGCTGAGTCCTGAGAGTAGAGTTTCACAGTATGTTACTGACTTGTCATTAATTATTAAGTCCACAGCTTATCACATTATAAAACTTGGGCACATAATGTKGAAAAACACAACTTGGATTATTGCTAAAGAGGAGAGCTTATCAGACCACATCTCAGAGCAGATCCCTCACATTTTGAGATGGAAACTAATGTCAAAACTGAACAKTGCTTAATGAAATTGATCAGGTTTCTGTAAACCTTTAATTAGACAAACAAGGACTTTAAGACAATTGACACAGAATACATCAACTGCATGTTTTTGTTTCAGTTGTTTAAATGTTTTTCACACGTCATCTTACCTGGTAAGCATCGAGTTGTTCATCGGTGAAGATAGTTTGCTTATTGCCCATCTTTATCAAGTGATTTGTTGCTTGTACACATTCAGAACAATGAATGTCCGAAGCCTTTCCTCGGTGAAAGGCATTTATGGGGTCTGCGGAGTCAAAGTCTCCACGTAGCGTTCGTTGGAAATAACCACAAACACCTAAAAACGGTTGGTGTCCGTCAGGAAGCGATGCAAGCCATGACAGGGAAAAAAAAAGTTGATCCAGTCAAAAATCCAAGTGCACAACTGAGCCAAAGCAGAGCTGGTTTTCTGAGGATGCTGAGCRGCACAAACTGATCTGCTTCTCCTTAAGTTACCAGGTGGTGTGTCCACTGGAGTGCAGACAAACCAATGAGAAAACAGAGACATAAATAAACAGAAAGAATCTAGAACGTGCTGGTAGTAAAGGTTATTAAACTACATGATGGGACACTTAGGTAAAACCACGTTCAGCTATAAATAATGCTAACTGTAATAAGAATAACTTAGAAAATAAATGCATCAATATACTGTAGTTGAGGCATTATGAGCAGGTTAATCTAATAATAACAAAATAATAATAAATAACAATAATAATAATCTAATAATAACAAAAATAAAAGGATACTGGAATAAAAATAACAAAAAGGCCTCATTATGAGCAGGAAATCAGTTCATTAAACATTTTGACACTGCTGTTTCGCTTCTTAACTCTGCATCTGCTCTATGGTCACATAAGTTCAAACATGTGACTCTGAAATGTACCTAAAACATACTGTAAGTGTAGTAACTGAATAATACTTTACTCCGTCTGTGACTTTAGTCAATCTGACAGATTTTCTCAAACTGAGACACCTAAATTATTTTTGCTGAGTTACCTTCATAAATTAAAATCTAATTTAGACCTTGATTGTCTCAGTTTTTCTTTATTTATTTCATAATTATTTGTTAACATTAACCAAAAAACATTACAATAGATAACAGAGACCACAAAAACAAGTCCATTCAAATAATTTGTGTTTATTATAAATAATGCATTATGTTAATTTTTCGCCTTTTCACCAACATGAAAGTTGTGATTAAAACAAACAACCTGTTGCACCTGAAGTCAAACTGAGGCAGAGTTTACTCACCACATCCACGGTTCTCCTCCGCGGCGCCCTGCWGATTGAAGGCCGCACACCCTGCCCCTCCCACCGGGCAGTAGCAGGAGTGGACGCCGGTGTCCGCCTCAGACACCTGCGCCTCATTATTATTACAGCCTCGCGCTACAATGAGCGTGTACTTACTGCTCCCCTGGACTGGTTCTAATCACACACCTCCTCCATAAGCCCYGCGCTGCTTCACACTGGGCTCACCGTTTGTCCCGTTTTATCGTAATTTAAAAAAAAAAGTTACCCAGGATGGAGTCGAAGCGAGACAAAGACCAGCAGGGTGAGTTATGATGGATAGCTTGTTGCTGTGCTAGCCACTAGCAGCTCGCGCTACTCTGGGATTAGATGAAGCTAACGCTAACAGCCTGTTTGGTTCACTCGTCTGTGTGTCATCACAAGAAAGTGGGTGGAAAAAAGGGGGGGCCACTGCTACCAATTTATCCCCAAACCCACTCATTTCATCCGGCTGTGTCTTCCTCATGAAGTCACACAGCTGCTGGCATAGGGGACGCCGCTCAGTGCTAACAAGCTAACAGAATTTAATGCTACTGTTAGCTCACCGTGAAGAAACTTCACATCATGGATATATATATGGTTCTCCACTCAGTACACTTTCTAGTAGTGTTGGAGACCCAAGATAAGCAGTTTGCATTAAAAAAAAACATTTGAAATATTTACAAGATTTGAAGAAAACAGTATAACTCAGTGGAGAAAAAGCCCATATAAACTGACAGCCTAAAGCAGGGGTGTCAAACTCCAGTCCTCGAGGGCCGCTATCCTGCATGTTTTAGAGGTTTTCCAGCTCCAACACACCTGATTCAGTGATTGAATTAACTCTTCAAATTGGGCAGAAGCCTGTTAATCACCCAGCGATCAAAATCAGGTGTGTTGGAGCAAGAAAACCTCTAAAACATGCAGGATAGCGGCCCTCGAGGACAGGAGTTTGACACCCCTGGCCTAAAGCAATCATAACGTCCCTAGCTGTTATTCATGCGTGCTGTTAGGAACATAATATCACACACATCAGTGCACACATCAGCACAGCTGCTTGTCTGTGAGCTTCTTTTCTGAGGCTGACAGGAGGGATTATCTGTGTGCTGTCAGGAGTAAAGAAAAGAAAAAGACTGCTAGAACTGCTGCTTTACTTTTTCTGCTATTAACAGAACAAATTCTGCTTCCGGCATTCTTTTTTTTCCCCCTAGTGCTGACTCACAAGTCAAAGCTCTSTGTTTGCACTGCGTGTATAGAAATAAAAGAAGTGACTTATCCTCTCCTGTCTGATTCTTCCAGATGTGGACTGCGAGAAGATAACTGCAGTGCTGCTCAAGTCGCGTACAGGAGAGTTTGATTTGGAATCGATATTGTTTCTCAAACTGAGAGGCCTTGGTAAGGGGAAAAAAAGCATGTTTACCAATTATTTCTATTATCGTGAATCCGTATTTACATGTATGCTGTTTGCCTTTAGGTATACATGACCTGGGATGCATTGGAGAATGTATAAATCTGGAGAGACTGGACCTATCTGCGAATAACATCTCAAATTTAGCTCCTCTAGCTACTCTTCGGCTTCTTTCTGTGCTAAATTTGTCTTCGAACAAGATCTCCAATTTAGGTAAGATTTATTCTTTTCAGATAGAGTAGTTTACAAGCTTTCTTTAAAGGTACTTGTAAACGTTTTGCCACCTAATGATATGCAAAGTGATTTGCTTATTAAACGTTTTAGCTATTGTGTTTTGATATAATACTCTCATGTTTATCATTAATGTTGTTTATTTTTGTCTGCGTCCTCCTTTTTTTTTTTTTGGCAAATTGTCAGGCCAGAACTGTAAATAAGAACTTGTTGATGTTCTGCCTGGTTACATAAAGGTCAAATAAAAATACAGAAATCAAGAACTAAATCAGTGAGCTGTTGACTGAAATATTATTTTTTTTCCCCCCAGAACCTCTTCGTAGTTGCGAAAATTTACAGAACCTAAATGTTGCTGGTAATATCATTTCCAGGTAAGCTGACTGTAAGTCCCAAATAAACAGGGATGTGAATATGTCTCAAATTTACATATTAACAGCAACACAAACCAATCAGACAGTTTTCTGAAAATTATTGAAAACATGTTATTTATAAGGTTTGTTTCATCTGTGATTAGTGGTAAATATAAAAAACACAAAATATATGATAAATGTGCCTCGCTCGTGTTTTATTTTCCAACAGTATCGAGAACCTACATTGCCTTGTCTCTCTGCGAAAGCTGGAAAATATCCGTCTGAAAGACAACACACACAATTACAGCAACTCAGGTACGTTTTTGGGACTTTTGTTGTTTTTTTTTCTGTTAGATGAGAAATTTTATTTATCGATCTTAAAACGGCTTTTTGTCTTTTTATCAGTGTGCAGGAGTTCATCATATAGAACTGCAGTGCTTGAGATGTTCCCCAACATCAAAGTTCTGGATGGTAAAAAAWATATATATATATTTATATTAGTTTATTTAACAATCTATTTAATATTAAGTATCTGGTATTGCACTGACTGTATCCTGTTAWATATTTGATCTGTTTTTAATTGTAGGAGAAAGAGTTGTAGGGAGAGGAAGTGACTTGTACCAGCTATGCAAAGACATTGATGACACTATTAAAGGTATGTATAACCTAGTGTATGTGTCATACTTAGTTATTTTTATGCATGCTGATGTTTGTGTTTCTCTGAATGACGAGCTGGTTCGTACAAGAATGGGCAGCTCGTGGAACACCCCAATTGTAAGCCATGGGTGGAAGATAGTTACTGGGAGATAAAGAGGTCAAACAACGCCATCATTGAAGAAGCCTACAAGCAGTTTAACGGTGAGAGGATCCGTTTTTCCTCTGAGACGTTCATCATTCTAGTCAGCTGTTCTTACTGCTTTATTTTCGTTCCTTACAGATGTTCTTCATGAATGCAGACTCCTCAACAACAGAGCCACGCACGTTATTTCACAAACAGAAAAATCTATGAGCTTGAAGAAGCAGCCAAAGCAATATGCAATCTAAGCTGGGCTATTTTGGACACTTTAGTGTCTGATGTTTTGCTGCTTTATTTATTTATTTATGTATTTTTGCAGTGTAGCAATGCTGACTTACTGTAGCTTTTTTAAAATAACCGTGCTATATCCAAATGCTTGATGAATAGCATTGCCTGATACACTTGCTCTTCACTGCAGTGTAAGAAACCTGCTGTAACTGTGTGCATTCTATGCGTTGGTTATCAGAAACCACACGATGGGGTTAGAAACATTCATCCATACTGATATCCTTCAGTTTGGTTATTAACTTGCACAATGTGCATTTTAAATGCTGTAGCCTGCAATTATGCTCAAAGCTTTGCTGCATTAAAGATTTTTTTTACATGTTGATTCCCCCCCCCCCCCCCTTTTTTTTTTTTTACATTGCCTGGCTGGCTCAGAGAGTAATTGTATCCCATGCTGTGTTTTTTGTCATAAGTTGTATGTTTTGCAAAAAGTGACTGAATGATTGCTTTTGCCTCTTTTTCTTCTTTTTTTTTTTTTTGTTACATAACGTTTATTGTGTGAACTAGTGGAAAATACAGCAATTGTAAACCTGTATAAGTGTACTTAATTGTTGATCATTTTTTTTACTTTAATTCAGTTTCAGAAACATTTCTCATTCATAACACGCTTTGAATAGTTAGAGGAGAAAGGTACACTTTAGTGATTGTTTTGTAAAAACAGTAAACCAACAAAACAGAATGTAGCAGTCACAGAAACGGTGCTGTGGCGCCACCTACTGGTCTTAATTGATGTTTGCAATTAAATGTCCCGGCCTTGTTCACATGTAAAGTTAAACTAACTTTGTGATGGCATAATACAGCATTGTTTTTTAAACTTATCTTTTTTTGTCCTTGGTTAGGACAGATAAGATGAAAGTGAATATTTTAAAAGCTTTTAGTTTTATTGAAGATAGTGTAAGAATGATTGAATCCGCTGTTGTTTGTTTAAAACTGGAGGAAATATATAATATAAGTAAAAATTTTACATTTTTYCCCCCCTGGTTACTTCTGAAATAAAAGGAGTTTAGTTAACATCTGGGTCTTGAAAACTAGTTTGAGTGGACGAGTTTATTTTGAAAACCGGAAGTCTGCACCGAGTCAAGTGCAGTTCCATCCATCGCAGGAGTCAGGATGGCTGGGAAGGCGTGGAGTTTACCGGTATGTAGCTACGCACAAGATTTGTGTAAATATGTCATAAAAATGGTCTCAACGATGTTTTTTAAGAGTTTTTGTTTATGTGTCATTTTTCCAAACAGCGTTAATAAATATAGCCTAGGGCTAAGAGAGCTGTTGTCCCAACTACTCTCACCCTTTCCATAGCAAACTATCAAACTAAGTACGTGTTAAGAATATTAAAGTCTTGTCTAGACTTTTTTTCTGTTACAGAAAAATGTAGCTCATTTAACTTCGTAAAACTTGTTTTAGTTAAAATATCATTGCTAGTTTGTGCAATTCAGCTGAATTTACTTCAAAACTTAAAATGTGCCCACATTTTCTGCTGTGTTAAACTTGTTTCTCACACCGTGGGAGGCCTTTTAGGGTTGACTATAGGCTTGTAATGCCCCACCCTACTTCACTCTTTTTAAAGATAACAAGTTGTTTATGTCATTTTTAATAAACAAGGCCACAAAGATGCATGCAGTATGTAAGATTTGGTGTTGAATTGAGGTTTCYAACATGAGTTCCCCAATATTATGGTATAAGTAAATTTGATGGGGATAAAACTCAAGAAATACTTATATTACATCACATTATGTTGACTTGTAGGTAAAGTCAGTAACATGATGCTACAATAACGGGAAAACAAATTTGACAACTGCTATAAYAACAAAATCACGCCTTCCCATAAAACATGTACAAACTCACTGAGACCAGTTTGTCCTCTAGATTTTCCTAAAGTGTGGGTACCTGTAAAAACACTTTGCTACCAGAGTGCCTTAAACGCACCGTGGCTTTGATTCTGCACATCTGTGAAACTGCTGCAGAGATGGAAAAACCATTTTTTGATGCTCTCTGTCTCGTGGCTGCACATGATTGTTTCCTTGAGAAGGCTATCTGGACAGACATGTTTCATAATAAAGAAACAAGGTGATCTTTGAAAGTAACTTTGCACTGATTGAAACACATAGTACCACTATGCCRTCAAAGTGAAAGACTTTTGTTGTGAAAAGCATGATGTTTGTCGTCTTTGTGTTTGGCAGGTGTCACTGGCGCGCAGTGCTTTGAAGAAAAGTCGACAATCTGGGAATTTGATCAGAGGGGTATGTACAGTTTATTCCTCAAACCTTTGTGGGTAGACTCACTACTCAACAGTCTGATTTTATTTTATTTTATTTTATTTTATTTTTTTCGTTGTTGTTCTTGAATGTAATCTGTTTTTGTTTTGTGCTTCCCAGATAAAAACTGTTACTTTATTCCCTGGTGATGGAATTGGTCCAGAGATCTCCACGGCAGTCATGAAGATATTCGAAGCAGCTAAAGTTAGTTCTGGAAGAGACTACATAAAATAGAGGAGAATATTGTATATACACTATTTTTTTTTTCATTATTAGTTTTTTCTTCTTTAAGAAAAAAGTAGTGGATTATGGGAAAAGTGTTTTTTTTTATTTACACAAACTAGGCACCTATTAAGTGGGAGGAGAGAAATGTTACAGCCATTCAAGGACCTGGTGGTAAATGGATGATTCCTCCAGAGGCCATAGAATCGATGCACAAGAACAAAATTGGCCTAAAAGGTAACCTGATGAATGTTTATTAAAAAAATACAAAAGTGCACTGCAGCTTTTTTATTCAACAGTGGACATGGTACACAGTTTTTCTCCATAAAGATGTGTTTTGACACATGGCAGGTCCTTTGAAGACACCGATAGCAGCTGGTCATTCATCCATGAACCTACTTTTGAGAAAAACCTTTGATCTCTTTGCTAATGTACGACCCTGTGTGTCCATTGAGGGTTATCGAACCCCCTACACAGATGTGAACCTGGTCACCATCCGGGAGAACACGGAGGGAGAGTACAGCGGGATTGAACATGTGGTCAGACCCTTCACCAACACGTGTCTACGTTGACCTATATTAAGTGTAATGTTTGAAATGTAAACTCAGTCTCTGGTTTCAGATTGTTGATGGAGTTGTGCAGAGCATTAAGCTCATTACAGAACAAGCCAGCCAGCGCATCGCAGAGTACGCGTTTGAATATGCAAAAACTAATCAGAGGTCCTGCGTCACTGCTGTCCACAAGGCCAATATCATGTATGTTGTGTTCAGAACAGGTCCMTTTAAGCTTTGTGTCGTTTTAAAGATGTCTGTCTGTGTCGAAGGCGAATGTCAGACGGACTTTTCCTGAGAAAATGCAGAGAGGCTGCGGAAAAGCACAGAGACATCAAGTTTACTGAGATGTTTCTGGACACGGTGTGTCTTACTGTAAGTTCCAGTGATGTTGAATTTGAAATCAGGTGTAGTGTGAATAGTAAACAAGACAAAAGTAATGTTTTCTTGTTAATTAGTTCAATTAACAAGAACATTGTGTGTGTGTGTGTATCTTTTTAAAGATGGTCCAAGACCCCACTCAGTTTGATGTACTGGTGATGCCAAACTTGTATGGAGACATCTTGAGGTAATTGCATCACTGAATCTCGAATAAAGTTCACTCACAGTAAAAAGGACGTGCACCATATTTCTGTATGGTGTTTTACACACAACACAACCCCTGTGAACATCCCATGACATATGAGACTGTAATTATTTAAATAAAATTAGAAGAGTTTTTTGTACTTTAATTCATTCATTTATTTATTTATTTTTGGCATTTTTGTCTCAGATTTTGTTTAGTAAATAATTAAACAGTATAATACTTATGTTATTGATCTACTTTTCAGATTTTATTCTGTGTCTAAAATTGTTGGATTTAAGAAAATGACAAACACTTTTTATTATTATTTTTTTCTTAATATTTCATCAGTTGGAGGTTTGTCTTTTATTTTTCACCCACCGCCATGAAATGTGGACAGTTATGCAAATATCTCTTTCTGTTTGTCTTTTAGCAAAATATCTCCTAACCTTACTGAATGGATTTTAATGAAACTTGCAGAACATAATCATTGGATGTACATACCTTATACATGTGTCTACTGCAGCTAATCAACCTTAGCAAACACAAAGTGGGCTAAAGCTCAGTTAGTTTCACAGATATAGAGCTAAAACTTGGTAGCTGAGTCATACCAGACACATGCACTGAGTGCCAGCAAGTCCCACACAAGTCTGCTCAACAAATGCCACAAATAAACAATTTAATGTGATTACCTGCAGTGACCTCTGTGCTGGGTTTATTGGAGGTTTGGGAGTGACTCCGAGTGGAAACATCGGTGCCAATGGTATGGCCATATTTGAGTCGGTGCGTTGTTTTCGCTTAAATTCTTCTCGTTTGTCATCTCAAGGTTGAAGTTGTGGGTAACAGAAAGATTCTTACTCTTTTCTCTTTCCAGGTTCATGGAACGGCCCCAGACCTCGCAGGAAGAGACCTGGCGAACCCCACGGCCCTGCTGCTCAGCGCCGTCATGATGCTGCGACACATGGCGCTGCACGACCACGCCAAGAAGATCGAAACTGCTTGTTTTGACACCATTCGAGATAAAAAGGTAATCCTATTTATCATATGAATTATTTCTYGAAACCAACTTGAACTCTGCCTCCAATGCACATTATGGGAAGCACTGAAGGCATTTATGAGGGGATGTATCTTATCATATAGTGCATTCAAAACAAGAGAAAAGAGGAAAAAATTAACAAAATTATCTGAYGAAATAAGAACACTTGGAACAACAGCACTCTAAAACAAAAAGAATGGGCATATTACATTCTTTGGCATTGAAACAAATAGAGTACAACAACTTTTGTTCTGCTAAGGCTGAGGCTGCATTAACTAGGACTAATTATCATTATTATGAATTTGGAAATAAAACTGGTAAATTGCTTGCATGGCAGATCAAGAAGGAGGAATCAGATAAAATAATTCACACAATAACCACTGATGATGGCAGGTCTTTAACTGACCCTCGAGATCAATATAGAATTCAAAAAAATTTATGAAATATTGTATAAATCAGGATACAACATTAACAACAATTCTGCGAAGCAGTTTTTGGCTGATATACCTCTCCCACAGATCAATGATGAAGATAAAAAACTGTTTGGATTCTGATATAACTGAGAGGGAGGTTCTACTGGCTATGAATTCATTACAGAACGATAAGACCCTGGGACCTGATGGCTTCCCCACTGAATATTACAAAACGTTCTCATACAAACTACTGTTGCCTTCAACAGTTATGATTAAAGAAGCTCTGAAGGAGCAGGCCTTGCTGGGCTTTCTCGAGCTAGCTACCATAACTACTACCAAAATCTGATAGGGATAGACAAAAATGTGGCTCCTATAGACCCCTGAGTCTTTTGAATGCTGACTACAAGATTATCTCTAAATTGCTTGCTACTAGGTTGGATGGCATTATGCCAAAAATAATACAATCTGATCAAACAGGATTTATCAGGAGTAGACAGGGATCTGATAATGTTTGTCGTCTACTCCATACAATCGATTCAACACGAACAACAAAAGAGCCTACACTGATCATTTCAATGGATGCTGAGAAGGCGTTTGAAAGGATGGAACCCGCGTTTTTATTTAAAACGCTTTCAAGAATGAATTTTGGTGACAGATTCATTCACTACGTTAAAACACTCTTTAAAAGCCCTAGAGCTCAAATACTAACTAATGGGGTCCTGTGGGACGCATACTCACTGACCAGAGGGGTCCGACAGGGCTGTTGCATCTCCCCGTTATTGTTTTCGCTCGCCATCGAACCATTAGCTCTCGCTATCCTAGCTAACACTTCCATTTCTGGTGTTAAATTCGGTAGTTCAGAGCATAAAATCTCACTACACAGACGACATTCTGATCCACCTAATTGAACCAAATGACTCAGTTCCTCCATTATTTCAATGTCTCAAAAAGAACAGCATCAGGATATAAAATAAACTTGACAAAGAGTGAAGTTTAGCCTCTAAACACACAAGATTTGGATATCAGAACTCTCGTTGAACCACTGAAAATATGTCCCTATGGGTTAAATACTTGGGCATAAATATTAGAAAACAACATGATAAAGTATTTAAAGACAATTATTTAAATCTTTTAGAGAAAATAAAGTCTGACACTCAAAGATGACTTGACCTTCCTCTATCTTTAATTGGAAGAGTAAACATAATTAAAATGAATGTGTTGCCTAAACTTATTTACTTATTCCAATGTATTCCGTTGGTTGTCCCTAAGAGCTTTTTTAGTAAGGTTTACAAAATTACCTTGTCCTTTTTGTGGTGAAATAAGAACCCCAGAGTAAAACTTACTACCCTCCAGGCGCCTTATAACAAAGCTGGCCTAAATCTTCCAAATTTTAGGTCCTATTACTTGGCATCTCAGTTTTGCTCGATATGGATTTGGTTACATTTTGAGAGCTGTAACATTAAATGGCTTCCTATAGAACAGCAGCTGATGAAAGCAACTCAAGTTGTACTCCTTTTATGGCCACTAAGAAAAATCTTTCCTCAGTTACAAATAGCCCCATAATTCTAAATACGTTTCGGGCATGGTAGGAATCCCATATTTTGCTGGGATTAGATATCTCATTATTAAAGAAGATCTGATTGTGGAATAATCCCAACATCTCGTATCCTATTACAGATGGAACTCTAAAGAAATGGACAAATAAAGGAATCCAAACGGTTGAAGACCTTTTATAGCAACAATATATTTTCTAACTTTCAACAATTGTCTTCCAAATACAATCTGTCACAAAAACAACTACTTTAAATTCCTTCAAATCAGACAATGGGTTCAAGTTAATTCAACTAATTTTCCAAATATACCTAATGATTCCTCTTTCGAGAGGCACCTGTTGGATATGTGAGTCTTCCACAAAAGGACTGATATCTTCAATATACAACCTGCTGAACAGAGATCTACCAATTTACGATAAACTCATTTAAAGACAAGTGGGAGACAGACAGGATGTATCTATGAGGATACTGACTGACAAAATATTTTGGCCAGATCCCAAACAGTTCTCATCTCTACTAAACATAGGCAAATGCAATTTAACATCTTTCACAGAGTCTATTTCACCCCGCAGAGATTACATAAAATCAATAGGAACATATCTGCCATGTGCCAAAGGTGCAAGACGGCTGAAGGCAACCTACTGCCTATGCTTTGTGCTTGTCCTCTCCTAGAAGATTTTTTGGAAATTTGTTATTACCACTGTCTCAGACATCATAGAGACTGATATTCCTCAAGACCCAAGGATCTGGCTTCTCGGAGATGCTGATATGCTTAATATTATGGAACGTAAGAAATATTTTATGCCCTTTGTTCATAACTTTGATGGACATAATTTCTAGGTGCAGCCAAGGTGTTGAGGGGATTGGTGACCTTAGGATCACATCTCTGCGTTTTTGCAGATGATGTGGTCCTATTGGCTTCATCAGATCGTGATCTCCAGCTCTTGCTGGAGCGGTTCGCAGCTGAGTGTGAAGCGGACGGGATGAGGATCAGTGCCTCCAAATCCGAGACCATGGTCTTGAGCCAGAAAACGGTAGCGTGCTGCCTCCAGTTTTGGGAGGAGGTCCTGCCCCAAGTGGAGGAGTTCAAGTATCTTGTTCACAAATGAGGGAAGAATGGAGCGGGAGATTGACAGGTGGATTGGTGCTGCGTCTGCAGTGATGCGGGCGCTGTACCGGTCTGTCGTGGTGAAGTGAGAGCTGAGCCAGAAGGCGAATCTCTCGATTTACCGGTCTATCTACGTTCCTACCCTCATCTATGGTCACGAACTTTGGGTAGTGACCGAAAGAACGAGATCGCGGATACAAGCGGCCAGAATGAGTTTCCTTCGCAGGGTGACTGGGCTTTCCCTTAGAGATAGTGTGAAAAGCTCAGTCATCCGGGAGGGACTCAGAGTAGAGCCGCTGCTCCTCCACGTCGAGGGGAGCCAGTTGAGGTGGTTCGGGCATCTGGTTAGGATGCCTCCTGGACGCCTCCCTGGTGAGATGTTCCGGGCATGTCCCACTGGGAGGAGGCCCAGGACACGCTGGAGGGACTATGTTCCTTGGCTGGCCTGGGAACACCTTGGGATTGGGTTGGGTTGGGG